AATGTACAAATGCACTTTACACAATTGATGTATGTATGGATTGTGATGAGTTGTATGAGCCCCTAATAATATGATTTTAAAAATATGGAGTACAGTATTGTAATCTCTAGGCATCCTATGAGAAGCAGTGGTTCTTATCTTTTCATTAATCGGTCAATGGTTTAGGATTTTAGATCAATATAATGAGCACGCAGAAAAGGGAATTCATATGCGATTATGGAAGGTCTCTACGTCAGCCCTGGAAAGCGTTTACTTCTTCCCTCCTGGCATTGAACACTTCCTATTGCTGGTAGCACAGTGGTTGTGTTGGAGGCTGCTAACCATAAGCACAGCAGTTCAAAACCAACATCAACTCGATAGTAGTTTTTAAGGGATTGCTTCTGTACATAGAAGCCCATTGTGTCCAGTATGGAAAACTGACCCTTGATGTTAACTTACTTGACTGGTGGCCCACCCTGATCAAGCCTAGCAACTTCAGGTCCTGTTAAAATATACTCTTTTTCCTCCTTTGGCCTGAATTAGCACAATCATCTACTCTCCCTATAAGTAGTCATTGGTGAGGGATAGGGTTTTGTGGTTAAGATTTCTTCCTGGTTTTCAGTGATTTGTAATTCTACCCTCCCACTTTTTACTTGGACAACAATGAGCTTATTCATTTCTGGCATTGTGAATTCACCGTCACTTTTGGCTCTTGGGGTGGGGTGGGGGTTCATTGTTGGGTTGAAGCACATGATGCCAGCCATGAAAAGTCCTAATTTGACATGTTGTTACATCCAAAACCTTAGAACCCAACGGGATGCTTTCTGACCTTGGTTAAGACTAGCACAGCGCAAACCAGCCTTTAAAACAAAGTCAAGAACCATTTTGGAACTGTTGGCAAGTTCCCAGGTTAGGTTTGTTGGCTTGTTTACCCCTTCGACGGAACAGCAGGAAATCCAGCAGCGAGCTAAAGGACCAGTAAAAATGCCGACACAGAACTAAATCAAAGGGTAGTTTATTAAAAATGAATCCCAACAGAAACTCTAAGTACCAGTGTGTACATTGTACACATTTAAATGACTCACAAGAATGAAGTGTTCTTTTTTTTGTTCATATATAAAGATCCTGCTGCCTTATTGTTTATCAAAGATGTTCAAGGAAAACAAAAACCGGACTCCAAACTGCATGCAAACGGCCATACAGAATTGCCTCTTGCCTTTCAAACATGCAACAACGCCACTGGTAATAAAGCTTTGGAATGGGAGCTTGTTCTATGGTTCCACTAGAAACAGGGAAGGAAAGCAAGAGAAGGTGAGAATTTATTCTAAATAGAATGGAACTTGTCGGCGCCGACGCCAGCACGCCTCACTCCTCTGCCGCCATCTTTAGCAAGTACTCCTTGTCGATCTTGAAGAGTCTCCATCCCTCCTCGCTGGACAGGTCAGAGGCACCTCTGCGTTTGTAGAAGTTGATAGATGGTTCATTCCACTCTGCCACCAAGAAGTGCATGCTGCTGCAGCGACATTTCATAGCCACCTAGTGGAAGGCGGGGGGAGGAGGGGGGCGGTCAAACCAAACTTGTGACATGCCCCCTGTTTTCCAAGACCCGATTTGGACACAGACATTTAGACAGCCGTGCCATCCTTACAGGTTCAGACACCCCACCTGGAGACGTACCTGGCTTAGATTCTTCAGAATTTCGGACCCAATGCCAAAGCCTGAAAGAGAAGCACGATGGTGGGTAAAGGTCACTTTCTGGACTTAAAGGCCCCTTTCTTTTATAGCCAGCCCTCTGAACTCGGCCCTACCTCTGTAATCATTCATCACAAAGAAGTCCTCAAGGTACAAGAGCTTGCCAATCCAGGGATCGTAGGTAAAATAGTACATGGCGAAACCAACAATGCTGTGGCCTGCAACAACAGTTATCACCTGGGTTAGTGACCAAAAGCCCAGCAACGATGTAGCTGCAACACAGACGCCTAAGCATGGGTGTCATAAACAGACACATATAGACTATTGAGATTAAGTGGCCACTGACTTCAACTGTCCCCTTTTGGGCCAGGAAAGCCCCAGCCACTCACTGTTGGGGCGGTCTCTCTGTGTTCAGATTGTGTCACAAGCCGGCTTCAAAAAAAAAAGTTCACGGAACAATGCCATTAAGAGATCATGGAACTCCTCCCCCCCTCCCCCCGAACTTTTGAAGCCCCCTCAAATTTGAAAAACCAAAACAAAATAGTCACACAGTGCTAACCAGAAGCCAGGTTAGCACCCGGGGCCAGGGTTACTCTTCAAACCGCGGGAGCCCACACTCGGGGAGCAAGAAGCAAAAGAACTTGGTCTTTTAAAGTAAACAACTGTATTCATCGCCTACAGATATACTGGGATGCTGATGTGGGGATAAATCAAATTTACAGGGCAGTTCAGAATAGCAAATATCTGTAAGTCGGGAAACGCCACTTCCTTAATGCCCAGAAGGGGCCAAAGGGGCCACATTCTAGCGCAGTTTGCCTTCCAATTCACAGAGAGCCAATTTGCTCTCCCCAGTTCTGAATGCTAGAAGCCGCTGCCGCTGTCATGCACAGCTATTACAAGCCACTCCTAGAGATCTCTTAAAAGCACCTCCTTCCTTACAAGGTAATTTGCTTATTTCTTCTAGCTTGGGGGCACGGACTTCAAGAAAAACAAACAAACCAAAACAACATCTCAAGAAATCTCCCACCCCCAAACAACTTCCCCTTTCAGCTCTGTGGATAAGGACCAGCAAAAATCAAACAGAAAACAACCAAGCCTCCGCCTGTGAGCAGGTGATCTAACTGCGCTCCCAAGGGAGGCAGAGAGGTTCCACATCACCCTGTTCGGCCATTTTAGATTCCTTTGCACACAGACAGGAAGCAAGTATAGTGACGTTTCTGATCTACCGTGTTTTAAGTGTGTGATAATAGGGCCTTACCTCATTTATCATGATCATCTACTTTATTGTGTAAAGGATCTTTTAGTTACCTCCCCGCCCATCCATGTACACAGAAGGGCCATGTACATGGCGAAGCTAGAGACTGTAACCTGAAGATTGGGACAAATTAAAGAAAAAAATGTGATTTAACACAATTACAAAAAAGGCTTACGTTAGGGTCAAACAAGAACCATTTTATGAAACGGAATTACAACAAAAGACATTATATACCTAACTTGTTCGGGGTTTCACAGAGCTCTGATACTTACATAGTTCTCCGGGTTTTGCTTCCGTAATACGGCCAGGAAGAGAGGGCAGTTCTACTGGCACGGGGTGGGGGTGGGGAGGGGGGGTCTGTACAAGTCGGAATCCACTAGATGGCACCCAACGACATTAATTAAGTACAACCCAGTCGTGATTTTCCTTCTTCGTGATTTCTGCCCTGGCTGCCATTTCTGGCCAACTTCTCCCCTAAAGAACTTGGGCCTGAGCAGGAAGTGGTTCCGAATAGCAGGCTACGCTTTACTCTGATCAACTTCGGGATGGGCAAAGGTGGAGGGGGGTGGGGTTACCTTCCGGGGTCCAGTGTTCCTTGGGCACTTCGGCCACCAGGCAGTGGTAGAAGGGGTGTTCTCCAAAACCATCTTCCAGCAGATCTGTGAGAAGGGACAGTGGAGTGTTGGCTTTGGGGAGGTCAAGGGGCACTGGAGGCTTTGCCGCCGCCCCTGCCTCTCTGTAATGTTACCTTTCTCCGTTAATATTACTTGGTCTTCCATATATTCATATTTAGCCAGTTCCTGGGATGAGGCACGCAGAAGGGAGAGAAGAGAAAATAAACGTGAGGTTCCGGCCCACTCACAGGGAGAGAGGGG